CCCAACCACAGCCAGGCTCAAGGCCACTCTCCACACGCTTGGACAAGCCTCACACATGAAGGAAATGGCAGAGGAACCCAAGTATGCAGGACCCGTGACTGAGATCTCCAAGCCTGCTCAGATAGAGCCTGGACCTCCTCCTCCCAGATACCCCGTTTTCCAGTAACTTGGCAGTCACACTCACAAACTGCCCCTGGCGCCATGTAATCGCATTAACAACCAAGATCCAGAGACTATAGAACAAAGCTCCCGGAAGAGAGTGAAGCAGAATTTCCTGTAGCGCAAGGCCGCTTTTGTGGCTGCACAACCTCTTATACTCTAGCCCACTGATGTACCTAAAGCAGCACACATATGTTTGGTTTTAACATACTTGTTTGTATTGTTATATACTGGCTTAAATGGCCCCAGAATGAAATCAACAAGCTTCACACACTTCCCTCTTATTTTGGTAGGAAGACGCTCTCTGGTTGGGTGGGTGTTTGAATACTATCTGTAATGAACTATTGTGAACTACTTTATGAAAATAAAATGCATAAAAATCGCAAAAAAGGGCTGGAGTGATAGCACAGCAGGTAGGGCGTTTGCCTTGCATGCGGCCAACCCAGGTTTGATTCCCAGCATCCCACATGGTCCCCCAAGCACTGTCAGGAGTAATTCCTGAGTGTAGAGCCAGGAGTAACCCCTGAGCAACGCTGGGTGTGACCCAAAAAGAAAAAAAATCGCCAAAACAGAAAGAAAATGAAAGTAGTACTGCCAACCAAACACAAAAATGAGGGGAAAAAGAGAACAGGAGTTAAGGCACATTCTTGTATCTAGTGGACTTCAGTTCAACCTCCAGGATAACATGGTTTCCCAGACATCACCAGGTACCACCCTGGAAGTCTGGGTAATCCCCGGCACCACAGGCCCCAGACAGGGTTGAACTACTGGCCCAATTGCCCAGGACCCACTGGAATGCACCCTAGGATACCCTGAGCACCATTTGGGAGGCCCCTCAAAAAGTTGTTACTGCCAAAATAACAAACAGGAGACACAGAGATAGTACAGCAGGTAAGATGTTTGCCTTGCACATGACTGACATGGGTTTGATCCCCTGCATCGATAGCACAGCGGTAGGGTGTTTGCCTTGCACGCAGCCAACATGGCCGACCCGAGTTCGATTCTTCCGCCCCTCTCAGAGAGCCCAGCAAGCTACCGAGAGTATCTCGACCGCACGGCAGGGCCTGGCAAGCTCCCAGTGACGTATTCGATATGCCAAACACAGTAACAACAAAGTCTCCAATGGAGACGTTACTGGGCCTGCTTGAGCAAATCGATGATCAACGGGAGGGCCTTTATTATCCATATGGTTCCCCAAGCTCACCAGGAGTGATCTCTGAGCACAGAGCCAGGAGTAAGTCCTAAGCACCACCAGGTGTGACATACCCAACCTCTTCCCCAAATATTACTGGTTTTAATAATTTATAAGTCCTTATAACTTATAAATACAAATATACATAATTTATTGAGAATATATCTCTCCTTACTGGAGAATATATATTTATTCTTTATTATAATAAAGTTTACATCTATATTTCCAACAGAAGAAGTCCTTTACCTTTTCTAATTGGTCTGCTGTCTTTCAGTACAAGGTGACGGGCAAGGGAACTGAGAGAGAGAGAGAGAGAGAGAGACAGAGAGAGAGAGAGTGAGAGAATGTCATCTGCTTAAGAGCATAACCACTGACACACTAAAGGAAAGGAGCAATGTCAAAAGTGCCACAAAACCTGTTTCATTTTTTATTGTTGTAGGGGCTCAATTCCAATTCTGTGCTCCAGGGCAGCATAGTGCTGGGGAAACCATGCAGTACTGAGACCAAATCCAGGCCTACAGCTTGCACAGCATATGCTCAGTCTGTGGAGCTGTCTCTCCAACCCCTTTGCTATTGTCTTGCAGACCACCTTTTCTTGAGTGTTTGCCTCTTTAAAACTTTGAATCTTTTTCAGAGGCTTGTCCAAATCTGTTATCTATTTCTTCATATTTCTGAGGAGAAATAAGAGCTTGAAACTTCTTAGTACTCCCTTTTGTTAAAATACTGTTTTATTTTTACTTGTGAAATTAGCAATGACAAAAAAAATCTTTGCTGTTGCAACTGTGAGACCCTTGGAGTAATCCCAGTCATTACCAAATACAAAAAAGAGAAAGTATTTTGGGAAACTGGCCTTGGTAGTATTGGTGACTGGACTTGTATAGAACAAACTCTCTGTGTTGTATATACGTGTATGCACATGTATTGATGTGTAGGCGCATGTTTATTGTATTTTCAGATGTACATTCATACAGAAAATATATGCATGATAAAGGATTTAAATACTGACATCATTTGATACAGAAATTTAAGCGATGGAAGTAGCTTAATAATAATATGTGTATGGAGATTTTTATTGTGAGTACAGTGCATTTATTATCACAGCGGGTAGGGCGTTTGTCTTGCACGCGGCTGACATGGGTTCAATTCTTCTGCCCCTCTCAGAGAGCCCAGCAAGCTACCGAGAGTATCTCGCACGCACGGCAAATGCCTGGCAAGCTACCCATGATGTATTCGATATGCCAAACCCAGTTACAAGTCTCACAATGGAGATGTTACTGGGCCCGCTCAAGCAAATCGATGAACAATGGGAGGACAGTGCTATAGTGCTACTAGTTATATAATAATGGCATGTTGGCAGCCATACCTGTGTCTAATAATAAAAGATAGTTAAAACATCCATCATATAGTATAATGCCACAACCGCACTGAGCTCATGTTTAGAAAGATAATTTCAGTGAGCTCCTTGTATTTAGTAATATTCATTTTAATAAAATGTATCAAGGGAAGATTTTATAGAAGATTTTATATCAAAGCTTGGAACACCTTCAAGAGCGTCCAAGAAATAACTAAGAGGACGAAGAACCTCCAGCTCCGAGCACATCTCTTTGAATCCACTGTTCTTCCTGCATTAACATATGCCTGAGACCTGGGCCTATGAAAACAGGATGAGAACGCTATTCGGGTCTCTCAAAGAGGAATTGAAAGAGCTATGCTTGGGAGTATCACAGTTCACTCAAATGAGAGAAAGAATCCCGAGTTCTGACCTCCATCAACGCTCAAGAATCAGGGATGCTGTCTCGTTTGCCAAGGCATCGAAAATCAGATGGGCTGGACACGTAATGAGATTTAGAGACGACCGCTGGACTAGAGCCATTATCGACTGGATTTCATGGGATGTCAAAAGATCGCGTGGACGCCCACCTACGAGATGGTCAGACTTCTTTGTCAAGACCCTGAATGATCAGTTTGAGGCTCTTTGTGTTCCTAGAACGAGCCAATGCCATTGGGCTATGCTAGCACGCAACAGGGATGAATGGAGACGTTACTGGCGCCCACTCGAGCAAATCAATGAGTAACAGGATATCAAGTGATCAAGTGATCAAGGGAAGATAGTACAGCATCAAGGGCACAGCATCAATATCTACCATGCACCAACCAGGGTTTAATCCCAAGCACCACACGGTTCTTTGAGCACTGCTCTGGAGAGCCCTGACCAGCACCAGAGCTGGTAATTCTTGGTGACAGAACTTGAGCAGCACCACATCCTCAGTTCACTGCACTGAACGGTGCATTGATTGCCCTAGAAGTGCAGGGGGTGCTGCAGTTCTCCTGAACATTGGGGCCTTCCCTCCCTCTTCAGTATAGATATATTTATAAACCACCAAAGTTTCTTTAGAACTTTAGCAGATGGAACCAGAGCAGAAGTACAGTGGGCAAGTTGCTAGTCTTGCTTGAAGTAGACCCAGGTTCAATCCCCAGGCACCACGTATGATCCTCTGAGGCTGCCTGAAGTTATCCCTGAGCACAGAGCCAGGAGTAAGTCCTGAGCACAGCCAATGTGGCCTCCAAATCAGAATATCAATAAAAATGAAACATTAGCTGATCTCTCTCATTGTGGTGAATCTCTATTACCATGAATCAGGTCACTTAGCAGTCCCCAAAGTCTTCTTAATCCTTATACCCACTTTGGTTCTGACAAATGTGGCTTTATAAGTAGCTCACACTTACACATAATTATCTGTTGAACTTATTTTAGGAGATTCAGAACACGGGTCGACTTGTCAAAAAAAGGGGGAGAGACCGTGTACCAGGTCATGCATTGATCCCTATACAGACGTTTTCTCACGCAGCCCAGAGAGGAAGGGATCCCTTTTTTTTATCATTTTTTTTATTAGTGAAACACAATGAAGTACACTTATAGACTTATAAATTTTTGTGCTTGGGTTTCAGTTATACAATGATCGAGTACCCATCCCTCCACCAGTGCCCATCCTCCCCCACCACGGGTCCTAGCAAAGGGATCCCATTTTAACGGAGGAAACTGCCAAGGGTCTCAGCGGTGCTTCCAGATTCCACTACGAATCGTGGCTCCGGGCCAAGGTTTCATCACCACCTCGCTGAATCTTAGCCTTAAGTAAAAATAAGATCCCTTGTAATGTTTACCCACACATTTTTGTTAGACGTTCTCACAACAGTTGATTTGTTTGGGGAAAGAGGTGCAAGGAGGGCCAGGAGGCCGCAGGGCGGCAGCCCGGGCGAGGTGGGTTCCCGCGACGGGGCAGCCTTCCAGGCCGGTCGGCCGCTCCTCGCCCGCTGCCCGGGTCGCGCGGAGGCCTTCGGTGGGCCCGGCCTGCCCAGTCGCGGCTGCCCGCGGCCCGAGCGCACGTCTTCTGCCCGTCGGCCCCGAAGGCCAGTGCTGGGCTTCGCTGCGCCCGGAGCAGGCCCCGGCGGCCAGCTGGCCCGCGCCCAGTCCTCGGGCTGAGGAGCCCGACCCCGCGCCCCGCGCCCGCGGCCTCGCCCCGCGCCGCGCCGTCCGCCCCGGCCTCGCCTGCGCCGCGCGCCGCCCGCCCCGGCCTCGCCCCGCGCCCGCCTGTCGGGGCGGCCCGGGCGGCGCGGCGCGGCGAGGCCCCTCCCCGGCGCGGGGCGCGGGGCGCGGAGGAAGCGGAGGCGGCGGCCGCGCCGAGACTGCGCCGCGCTCATGGCGTCGCCCGGGTGAGTGCCGCGCTCGGGCCGCGCGCGGGGGCCGGGGGCCCGGCCTGGGCCGCCCTCTCGGGACGAGGGGCGCCGGGCGGAGGCCGAGGCGGGCCGGTGGGCGGCTGGGGGTGGGGCCGGGGGCGCGGGGCCCGGCGTGCGGGCCGACCCGCTGCGGGCCGGCGCCGGGACGCGGAGTCGCCGCGGACCCTCGCCCCGCGGCGGCCGGGGGCGCGCGGCCCGCGCGGCCTCAAGGTCACTCTCGGGCCGGCTCCTCCCGCCGGACGGCCGCGGCGCCGCGAGGCTCGGGGGGCCGACGGAGCCCGGCGCCGCCTCGCCGCCGCCGCCGCGCGCTGCCCAGGCCTCGCGCAGGCCCGCGGGGACCGGCCCGGGGCCGGGGCTCGGTGGGCGAGCCGACTGCGCAGCCACACGGCCGCCTCCGGGCCTGGGCGTGGGAGCCGCTGAGGCGTAGAACAAACAACCGCCTGGCGGGCGGGTCCGCGGCGCGCGGGTCAAGGTCCCCAGGCTGACAGCCGCTGGTCGGTCGGGAAAGGGCAGGGCGAAGTCGGCGTCCCCGGAAGCGGAGGCCGGAGTCCCCCGGGGCTGGCCCGTGGCCTCTGCCAGCGATGTGCTTGGGTGGGGGCGCCCGGCGCCAATCTTGACAGACCCCGGTGGGAGACGCGCCCTCGCGGCCAGGCCGGCCTTGCTCTTCTGTGAGTTGGTACACGGCTCAGAAACCGCTTCCTGCTAGTCGAGGGTATTCGTATGGATGCGAGAGTTGCAGTTCCAGGTTTTTGTGCCCGATCCCGTAGGTCTGCAGTTGATAACGGACTTTGTTTTTCTGAGGAGTCGCCCAGGCAAATTCGCTATCACAAAACTTGTAGCGCTTTTATGTCTATAGCAAGAACTGTGCTCATACGATGGCATGGACCGCTGTGGGACTTTTCACGCTTCTGGGTTTCGGCCCCTCAGGTATTCACTCTGACAGGATTATCGGGAGATCAGAGTCTGTGGTGTCACGGAGACGTGGCTTCTTGAAGCCCTTTGGTCTGTTTCAGTCAGCTGGTCCAGCGCACAGTGAATTTATGAGATTAGGCACTGTGGGAGCAAGTCCAGACATTCAGAGTAGTGGTTGGAGAGGGAGTATTTTGAGAAGCCTCAGAAATCTGTGTACTTCCTAAGTGCCAATCTCCACGAGACAGCTGAGAAGGAGGAAAGAGATCCCCACAAATTTGGAGGACCATACCAATGTGGTAGACATGCAAAAGGAAGAATAGGGAAAATGAAGAAAAGGTACATACCATTTGCTGTGACTCAGGGCACTGTGTTCAGAAGTGTAGGCAAACCCTTAGGAGACTGGGACCAGTCAATAGAAGCCGACCTCGTCTGTGACTCACTGCCCTCTGCTCACTACTCACTGAGGGATGTTTTTTCAGTGAAGTTGGAGCAAGGGCTCAGAGAACCTGTGGACAGCAGTGTGGAGGAGGTGGAGTGGGGCAGGAGATGTGGAGCTCAGCTTGCTACCATCTGTCCTCTCTTGCATTATTCAGCCTGTTTGTTATTTGGTTTTCTTGGGCTCTATGGTCCATCGCTGCTAATCCTAGCACATATTCTTTGGATGATTACATCTGTTTCTGTGGCTTTAAATATTGTTTCAATCAGGTGTTCACGGCACAGAGTACAGAATTAATAGGTAAGCTTCTACGTATTTACATTACCTGAAATTATATGCAGTGTTGGTGTGTATTATCTTGGGATTACTGTCTGTAGCTTTCATCTTCTGTAGCCCATCCTAAAGGATCAGCAATGTTTGAATTACCCCATCTACATCCATCTAGATGGATAACATACCAGACTTTCCTGCCCATAATGTACTCTTTCCTGGAGTGTTGGCGGTATATACTTTGAAATACTAGAAAAATATAAACAATAAAAATATTTTTTTTTCTTTTCGGGTCACATCCGGCAATGCACAGGGCTTAGACCTGGTTCTGCACTCAGTAATCACTCCTGGCAGTGCTCAGGGGACCATATGGGAATCGAACCCGGGTCGTCCGCATGCAAGGCAACTGCCCTACCCGCTATGCTATCACTCCAGCCTCAAATAAGAGTTTTTATAGATTTTCCCAGTCTCAATTTTTTTAGGTCATCATTCTTATTAAAAGGATAGTCTTATGGATATCATAAAATCTGCACCCACTTAACATTAATTAATCTAATTAATCTGTATTAATTATTTATGTTTTTACATAAATGTTCCCATACAGTTCTGTAGTTTGCTTTATTCACCCAACAGTGTGCTCCAAGACACTGGTGAAGGGACAAGCGTTAGAACATTTTATGACTGAAACCCAATCATGAACAACTTTGTAACTGTGTATCTTATGGTGATTCAATTAAAAAACAAATTCTTTGCAGTGTCAGATCAAGGAACTCATCGACCTGCTTTTTTGTTTTTTTCCCTCTAGGGTGTGGCCAGATCCATTTGAGCTCAGGGCTGATACTCCTGGCCCACTGCTTAGTGATCACTTCTGAGAGGACTCAGGATTATAACGTGGTGCTGGGAATTGAACCTAGGTTGGCTGTATGCAAGGCAAGGTTCTCTTTACATAAATAATGTCAGACTTTGATAGGGAATTATTAAGTTGCGAAGTAGACATCTTTGTTTGCCCAGTCTTCAGACAGAAACTTCTTTGCTTACACCTTCGGTTATCTCAGAAAGAGTCTGGATTTCTACGCTTCTATATAACATTAAGATCTAATAAATACCTTTTCATAACTAAACTGATAGGGTTTTTTTTTTTTTTTTTTTTTTTTTTTACAGAAGATGTGATTGTTGTAGCACTTAGGTAGTTTCTGCCCAAGACCAGAAGGAGTGTGGTGAGTCTTATTGTTGACGAAGATTCAGGGAGCTAAGGTCTCAGTCACCTTCCTGACCACTCTTCCTATTTGACAGTTGAAAACACTCCCAGTAATATCCAGTGGATATTTAACAGTTCCTAAGACGTTGTCTTAAATGTTTGTCTTACTACCTGTCCAAGATGAATTTTTACTGACATCTTCATTTTGTTTAGGAGGGAATCAGGGTTCCACCTCTTAAGAAGGGCTTAACTTCCCAACTAGGCCAGAAAATCTGTGTTCTTTTCACTGACTAGAGGACATATTCTCTTGCCAGACCTGATGAGAGGAGTAAAGGACCTACAAACATTTTTCTTGGTTTTGGGGCCATTCCTAGCTATGCTTAGGACTTACACCTGACTCAGGAATCACTCCTGGCTCTGTGCTCAGGGGACAATATGTGGTGTCAGGGATTTGAACTTGGTCTGACCATGTTTGAGGAAAGTATCTTACTGAACTGTCTCTCCCACCCAGTATTGTGTACATTTTGTTCTTTGTTCCTGTACTTTTTCAGAATCTTTTCTGGTGGTTATTATGGAAAGAAATGTGTTTTTCATAGAATCAAACTAGATTCACTAGTAGGAATTTTGTTCAGATTTTTGTTGTAACTATTTTGCATTGTTTACTCAATTTTTCTCAAGTTCTTGATTCTCTATATGAGGGTTTTCTTTCCACATTTATGATTTCTCTCTTTCCACATTTCTTTCCACATTACTGTTTGCTTATGGAAGGCTGTTTAGGTACTTAGAATGAAGTTTTGTATGTCCCAATGGATAAATTTTCTTTTGGGTTTTCCATTTCTATTTGCACCATAATTTATTTCTGTTATCATGGATAAATAATAAATTGATGCTGTCTTTGTTATGGAATGACTTAGTAAAGGAGCCAGTAGTGTTCTTTGTGATATGTGCTTTCACTTGCTGCTGTACACCCATCAGGAACTCTTCCATCATAGCTTCTTACTCAAAATCTTCGTGGATGTCTGCCAGATGTCCGGGACCAGCATGTCAGAATCAACTTATTTATGATCCCCTCATTCTGTCTGTCAACAACCTGCCTGTCTGAGACAATGCTAGCGGCTCAATGGAGCCTTGAAAGCTTGGCATTACCCTGTACTCTGTTTACTCTGTTCAAATATCATGCTGCTGTCTCGGTTAACCCTTTGTTGTCACCTCTGTTTTCAGCTCAGGAGATGGTGACATGAAACTGAGACTTCCCTGAACATTCTCATAATAAAAGCTAAAATCCTGTCTATTGCCTTGAAAGCTCAGTCTTATCTCCTCTGACCTTCCTCCAGTTCACTTTACACAAGCCACACCAATCTCCCACTGATTTTTTTTTTAGTACATTTAGGCCTTTTCTCCAGCTGAACCTGTGACTTGGTATGTGCTGCTCTTCCCCCAGAGAGCTTATGCTTTCACCTCCTGCCAGAATTTCACCCTGCATTAGGGCCCTGTGACCACCAGCAGTGTGCTCCTATTCACAGACTTCTCGGGAACTTGTTCTGACTTTGCACCTCTTTTCTTTCACAGCTCTTACTGTCTTTCAGTTTATCCTGTCTTTGAAGCCTTAAACAATGTTTGTTGTCTCTATTTTCTTATAGAATGCAAGCTAAAATCAGGGATATTTGTGTCCATCATGGATTTATTTCAAACTCCTAGAAAATTTCCTACCAGTAAGTAAATATGTAGGTAAACCAAGAGAACATTGCCTTGTATAAACATCCTTCATCTATGTCATTTTCAGCACGCTGATGAGGTGTGCAGGACATTGGGCGATCACCTTTGTTTCATAGTTTTGCATGTGTATATTTTGTGTGTTTTATAATTGGTATATAACTCTTCAGCTTAGCTCTGGTGTGAATTCCTGAAGGATTGAGGTTTAATTTTAAAATCCTGTGCTCTTATATAGTGAACTGATACACCATGAACTTGGGACAAAGACTAGTTGCTCATTAAGACTGTTTCTCTCCTCACTCTTATTTCCTTATTTCAGTGATGTTAGCCTGGATCTGCTGAAGGGACTCTGCCATCACTAGGTCATTATTGCCAGGCATTGGAGGGATGCAGCCCTTCTCAGTGTGCCACCCCTCTTGCTCTTGAGGAATACTAGGTGCAGAAAATGAAGAGGACAACAGTGGGTCTTCTTTCATGCTCAGCATATACGCTGAACAATTCTCAGAGAATTGCCAGGTTTCACAGGCTGTTATAAACTATATTATAGTGTTTGATATCTGTTTATAGCCTTATGAGCTGCTTTGTGAAACACAAACTTTCTGTATGTTTCCTTGGCCTTGCTCTACTACTGTGTGATTAGTTTCAAAATTCTCAGCATGAGTGGTCACCTTGTAAGTGCAAAATGCCTCTAGATTTGACTTGATTGTTATGGGTTGAATGTGTACCATCCCTCACCTGCCAAAACCTGTTGTAATCTCTAGAATCTTTGAATATGACCATTTTTGGAATTAGATTTTTGTAGATAGGTTAGTTGAGGTCGTACTGATTTAGAGTGACTGCTGATCTAAAGACCTATGTTCTTATAAAAAGCACAAGAAGAGACATGGGCACATCAGGAGAAATCCATGTGTACACAGCAGAAACTTGGACAGCTGTTAAGAGCCTCATAAACACTATGTCTGTCTGTTAGGGATGCTTTAATAAAGTAGAACAGACTAATTGCTTAACAAAAACTGTATTTTCTGATCTGAAGGCCAGATACCTGAAACTAAGGTGTCTGCAAGTTGTTTTCTTCTGGAAAAAGGTGAGAGACCATATGTCTCCTTTTTTTCTCCTAGTTTCTGGTAACTGCGAGCAGTCTTCAGCATTCCTAGTATGGTAGCTCTGTCACTAGAATCTCTCTTTTTTTTTTTTTTTTGGCTTTTTGGGGCACACCTAGCAATGCACAGGGGTTACCTGTGCATGCCTGGCTCTTCACTCAGGAATCACTCCCAGGGGTGCTTGGAGGACCCTATGGGATGCTGGGAATCGAACCCGGGTTGGCCACGTGCAAGATGAACGCCCTACCCACTGTGCTGTCGCTCCCGCCCCTGTCACTACAATCTCTACCTTCATTGTCACATAGTTTTCTCCTTGTGTGTCCACCTTTCCATCTTAAGGAATGCCAACATTCCTACTCCTGTACAGTCTGTTTTTTTTTGGGGGGGGGGGGTCGCACCCGGCGATGCACAGGGGTTATTTCTGGCTCATACACTCAGGAATTACTCCTGGCTGTGCCCAGGGGACCATATGGGATGCTGGGAATCGAACCCAGGTCGGCTGTGTGCAAGGCAAACGCCCTACCCACTGTGCTATCGCTCCAGCCCCTGTACAGTCTTAATTTAACCAGTTACATCTGCAAAGACTTTGTTTCCAAATAAGATCACATTCATAGTATCTGGTACCAGTCACACATGGATAGTACCAATAACCATCTCTTTTTGGGAATATATTTTAATCCTTAGTACATAATCAGAGGACCTACGAAGTTCTACTACTAATTTAGTGAGCCTTTTTTCACAAACCAGTGCATCCAGTTAAGTTTTATGGTTTGTTTCTGGAGTTGTTGTAAGGTGAGGTTCCAAACTGGGGACCCCTAGACTTTCTTGTCAAAAATATCCAGGAATTAGAAGGAAATGTGGCAAGGTTCTGTATCAAACACTTGTCTGCTACATCGTGGTAAGCAGGTGCATCTGCATTTATCTAATATTTTATGTTTGGAATGGTTTTCTGTGTCATCTTTTTTGTTGGCCCTAGGCAGTGAACGAGCTGGGTTTGTTGTTGGGAATCCCTCCATCCCCTGTTCACCTGTCTGTAGCTATTGGAAGTGCTGGGTTTTTTTTATATATGAGTACTGCTATTTATTCAGCCACTGATTGAATTGTGCATGAACTCCACCTTACTTTTTTTCATTTCTTATAATTTTATTTATTGAATCACCATGAGAGCAGTTACAAAGCTTTTGGGTCTAAGTCTCGGCTTTACCTTCACCAGTGCCCATTCTCCAGCCCCAACAACCCCCCAGCACACCCCCATCCCGCACCCTCCCCCTACCTGTGCGGCATATGATTTCCACATTAGTCTCTCCCTACTTTGATCACGTTCAATATTTTGACACCAGACCCACCATTATTATTTGAGATTTTACCCCAACACTCATATCTGCTGAAAAGGCAACAGTAGACAATTTGTTTTCTATTGCTGGTTATGAATAACATACGATGTTGTGTGGCTGCAGTAGGGGAGCGCGATTTTGAAATTCCGAAATTTTAACACTTAAATCTGGAGGTAAGGTAAAAGGTCGTCGATTTGCTCGAGCGGGCCCAGTAACGTCTCCATTGGAGACTTTATTGTTACTGTATTTGGCATATCAAATACTCTCGGTAGCTTGCCGGGCTCTCCAAGAGGGGCAGAGGAATCGAACTCAGGTTGGCCATGTTGGTCGCTTGTAAGGCGAACGCCCGCCCGCTGTGCTATCGCTCCAGCCTTCGGCAGCACATATACTAAAAATCTGGAGGTATTTCTGCCAAAAGCCACTGGGTTTCGAGATTTGCTCCTGAGTCTCTGGGATCATGGCCGTTAAGCAGCTTGATCAGGAGCCAGAAAGGCCATTCGTGGGCAATGACTTGGGGTCTCATTCGGGTGGGGAGGACAGGACCAGCTCCACCCCCATCCCATGAGGCCCAAATTGTCTCGTCACTGCGGGCCCAACCCTGACTGTCCAATGGCCTCTGGAGGATAACAGCCACTGAGCCGCCAGGGGGAAACAGGTGGAGGGACAACACCTTACCCCCCCTGGGTTGGCCCGGCGACAATAACCTACTGCGTGGTCCGGCCACATTTCTGCCAAAAGCCGCTGGGTTTCAAGATTTGTTTCTGAGTCTGAGATCATGGCCGTTAAGCAGCTTGATCAGGAGCCAGTGAAGGCGATGGGCGAGGTTCGTGGGTGATGACTTAGGGTCTCGTTGGGATGGGGGGGACAGGACCAGCTCCACCCCCATTCTGTGAGGCCCAACAAGTTTCGTCACTGTGGGCCCAAACCTGACTGTCCAATGGCCTCTGGAGGATGGTGGCCACCAAGCCACCAAGGGGGAGCAGGCGGAGGGACAGCACCTTTTCCCCCCTGGGGTGGCCTGGCGACAGTAACCTACTGCAGGGTCCAGACACATTTCTGCCAAAAACCATTGGGTTTCAAGATTTGTTTCTGAGTCTTTGAGATCATGGCCGTTAAGCAGCTTGATCAGGAGCCAGAGAGGCTGTTCCTGGGCAATGACTTGGGGTCTCACTGGGGTGGGGAGGACAGGATGTGTTCCACCCTCGTGCTGTGAGGCCCTGCGTGTCTCGTCACTGCGGGCCCAAACCTGACTGTCCAGTGGCCTCTGGAGGATGGTGGCCACTGGGCCGCCAGGGGGAACAGGCCAAGGCACGAAACCTATTCCCACCTGGGTTGGCCAGTACTGGTAACCTACTGCAGGGACTGGACGCATTTCTGCCAAAAACCACTGGATTTCGAGATTTGTTTCTGAGTCTCAGGGATCATGGCCATTAAGCATTTCTATCATGATGGAACCACAGAGGCCCTGCCTCCAATTATATAGCTGAGCCAGAGGTGGTTTGTGGGTGTGTTTCCCACATGCCTAACTTTTGGCCATTTACATCTTGGTAAACTTTGCCCCAAGTTTTTGGGGTCTGGCCAAAGGCTCAGCAGCAATTTGGGGTATCTGGATGTCTGAAGGCGCCATCAGGCTGCTGATCAGGCTGCCTCACAGGTATGGATTGACCTGCTGGAGGCACCATACCCCCAGAAGTGCTGTTTTTGACCTGATTTAAAGTATGGATGCAAGACTTGTATTCAGAAAAATGGCTAGTTTGGGGGAGATGCAGGTAGGTAATTTATGATTTTTTTATAATTACTACTATAATTATAACTTACCCCAAACTTATTTGAGCCTTAAAAATAAGCTGGAAGGGAGCCATGTTTTGGTTTTTGCTTTGTTCTTGCTAGCTTAGTGATTCTGAGAAAATCCCTTGACTTGACTTTTTTTTTCTTTTATGGGAGCCACACCCATTTGTACTCAGGGGTACTCAGGGGTTACTCTGCATTCCAGAATCACTCCTGGCGGTACTCAAGAACTATATGGTATGCCAGGGATCAAACCCATGTTGACCGTGTACAAGGCGAGTGACTTACCTACTGTACTATTGCTCTAGCCCCTGACTTGACCTCTTTGAACCTTGTTTTCCATCTTTCAGGATGGTTTTAGGTACCATATTTGTTGGCTCAGGCTGGAGTATCACACTGGTTGACTTAAATCAGAATTTCTCAGTATGGGGCCACACGGCCTGGAGTTTTGCAATGGGTACATAGGTGTAAATCACATAAATGGAGACCCTGGCATAAGATTAGGGGCCAATCATTAGGACAGAGGGTCCACAGAAAGGAAACCAAGTCAGAAGGGGGCCAGGATCAGAACAAGATTGGGAAACACTTTTTCTTTTAATGTAGGAGTACTGCTATTTATTCAGCTATTGATTAAGCTGATCGAATTGGGCATGAACTCCACATTATTTTCTTTATTCAGAATGTTAATTGTATTATTATTATTTTAATCACTGTGAGATAGTTACAAAGCTTTCCTGTTTGAGTTTCAGCCATAAAATGAATGATCACCGAACCCTC